AGCTGGATCAAACTGGTGCCCATATGGGATACTGGTGCTTCAGGCCGGGCTTTAAACCATTGTGCTAAAGCACCAGCTCTACCTATAGCTTTTTAAAAGATGGTTTATTCATTTGAAAGGCAGAGTTACAGAGGGAGAGAGGGAGAGAGGGAGGGAGGGACGGAGGGAGAGAGAGCGAGCGAGCAAGATCCTCCATCCTCTGGTTCACTCCCCAAATGGTTGCAATGGCTGAGGCTGGACCATACTGAAGCTAGGACCCCAGGAGCTTCATCCTGGTCTCCTATACACCTGAAGGGGCCCAGGCATTTCGACCATCTTCACTGCTTTCTCAGGCACATTAGTAGGGAGCTGGATTGGAAGTGGATCAGTCAAGACTAGAACTGGTGCACATATGAGATGCCAGCATTGCAGGTGGCAGCTTATCCTGTTAACACCACAGCGCTGGCTCCAACTTTATCTTTTCATGTAATTGCATCTTTAGTGCCCACAATTGTATACCAGTTATTTAATTCACTGTAAAACAGATTATAAATGCATTGTAGATTCTTGAAGCGCTAGTATTTGTCTATAGAAGCTATTGTTTAATTACATGAATACTAAGATAATATAAAATGTTTTTATTGGTTTCTCTGAGCAAGAATTTACTTGAGAAAATAAGTATGTAAGGGTAGACATGTGATGCAGTGCTTAGGTTGCTGTTTTGGCCTCTTAGTTCTAATCCCAGGTGCTCTGCTTCCATCCAGTTTCATGTTAAGCATGCACCCTGCGAAGCAGCAGATGATAGCTCTAGTACTTGGTTCCCAGCCACCCATTTTGGAGACCTGAATAGAGTTCTGGTTTCCTGACTTTGGCTTGTCCCAGTCCTGGCTATTGCAGGCATTTGGGGAGTAAAGCACTGGATGGAAGGTCTCTCTCCATCTTTTCTCTATCTCTGCTTTTTAAATAAAAATGAGAAAAAAATCCCTAGTTCATCTTTACAGTGTGTAAAACAACTGCTGTACACATTTTCTTCCTGTATTTTTGGTTTGTAGCAACTCACCAAGCCTGAGTGTCTACTTTTTAGATAAATAAATTATTTTTAATAACTTGATATAAATGACTGTAATTCAATTTCACTTTTCATTATAAAACTTTCTAAAACATAAGAGAATATGTGTTAGAAAAATTGTCTAAATTAAATATTACCATTGTGTTATAATAAAAATGTGATGGAAGCTTAATTTACTTTTCAGTTAAACCAGTGGAGTTACTGACCAAGACACGAGTTGTTGTTTTGTTTTTTTTTTTTAAAGATTTATGTATTTATTTATTTGACAGGCAGATGGAGAGAAAGAGATCAATCTTTCTTCCATTGATTCACTACACAAATGGCCACAACAGCCAGGTTTGCTCCAGGCCAAAGCCAGAAGACATTAACTCCATCCTGGTGTCCCACGAAGGTTTCATAGTCCCAAGTACTTTTACTATCATCTGCTGCCTTCCCAGACACATTAACAAGAAGCTGGCCAGGACTCCAACCTGCATGTTATAGGATGCGGGTGTTGTAAGCAGTGGCTTAAACCCACTGTGCCACAACACTACCTGTTGAAGAACAACACCCCAAACTAGTTGTATTACTATAGAACCCAAATCTGTGTCTGCTTACCTGAAGTGCAGAAAGCCAATCACTGCAGGGTGGTAGAAGAAGGTCTTCATTGCAAAGTGTAGAGTAACATGCCCAACAGCCATTGCTTAATTCCTGGGCTCCCTGAGGAGTGAGGGGAGATGGTTCTTCTAGACTGAAATTGGGGCTGAGAGGTACATGTTCAGCTTATGTCCTTGTTCCTGGTTGGTCATTGCTCGTGACCTTCCTTTGGTTGGTCAGAGAATCTATGCTCTCTATGGAATTTATGATTTTCAGGTGGGCTTCAGTTGGTCCATTGGGTTACATGTAAGTAGTAATTACCATCTTCGCTGGACCTGGAATTCTCCTAAACAAACTCCTCTAGATAATACTGGCAACAAGGTTTTTTTCTATTGGAAAAGCAAATGACTTGTTGAGTCTAGTGACTCGAACTTTGTAGTGCCCACTATACAACACTATCAATTCAGTGAATACCTTTTGATAAAGGACAGGCAAGGACACCTTGTGCTAAGGGAGGCAGATGAGAAATTGGGTCCTGTCTTTACATTATAGGGTTCAGTCTCAGCTCCAAGGCACAAGTATTAATTAGAATTTCTCATATGTTTTCTGTATGCCAAACACTGTTGTTGACATCTGTGGGAAGAAGACTTAAGACATGCTTGCTGGCTTTTTAACAGCATGAAGAAGACGGCATTAGCAGTAGTTTCCTATGAAGGGAATAACCAGAGTTCCTCAATGAAACAGTTCATTTAGTAAATCAAAACAGTGGAGAATTAACATTTGGAGCTTAGCATCAACAAAATGTTTCCTATTGATGTGTTAACAATACTCCTTCCATAGGACTTTAACTGTCCTTATGCTTATTTGTTTAATAAAAAAAAAAAAAGCCTTTTTGGCAACAGAAAGTCAATCTGCCAGAAGCTCACCTGTCAGGCTGGTGTTGAAGTTTAGTTTATGGCTTTAGAAAATTGATTTTAAGTAATTGGTAAGTTACGATCTAGACAGTGTCAGCTCCTAACTGGTTTTTGTGGGGAGCAACCCGGACTGGACTAAGTTACTGGAATTAAGACTTATTCTATGCATCTGCTCTCCCACAATATGGCGCTGGGAGAGAAGAAAACAGCTTCTACACAGCTGCCTCTTGCCAACTTGAGTGATGACCTCCAGGAGCTGATCCTGCTCCTGATTGGAGGAGAGCAGTGTACTCGGCGTGTGGGCAGCCGAGTTAGGATTGGCGGAGGAGGACTATAAAGGAGGAGAGAGACGGCATGCACCAGGAACATCTAAGGGGAACATCTAAGGGGAACACCTGTGCAGCCCCCGAGAGAGCCGGCCGGTGGTGTGCCGCTCCCCCGCGGAAGTGGGGAATGTGGCAGGGGGAACCGCCCTTCCACGGAGGTGGAAGGGACGGTAGCCAACCCGGGAAGAACCAGCGGCAAACCCGGGGAGGGCCAAGCAGACAAAAGAACAACGCAGAGTCCTGTGTCGTTCCTCCGCGAAGAGGGGGAGCGACATAATGGTGCCGTGACTCGGATATGAAGCCTAGGCAGGGTTTTGTGTCGTTCCTCCATGAAGAGGGGGAGCGACAGTTTTGAGTTTTTTTTTTTTTTTTGATTGCAAACTACCTTGGGACTTTCACAAAAAGTGTGGACTATCTCCTTTTAAGTGCTGTATATCCATACACAATTCTACACTTATTTTTGAATGATCCTCCCTTAGGTGCTTCTTGGACCCTATGGGAAGAAACTTCTAAGTTGGATATTGGTTGTAATGTAGCTCACTAATGAATGTATTTGACTTTGTCTTCATTCTCTCATGATTGCCTGAAATTTGAGCTTTGTAAAAAGAGAGGTTAGTTGTCAATTCCCATATACTCTACAACTTAGGCTTTTCAGTTACCTTTTTTTTTTTAAATTTTATTTATTTGAAATAGCTACCGAGAGAGGTTGAGACAGAGTCTTCCATCTCCTGGTTCACTCCCCCGCAACGGCTGGAGCTGTGCCGATCCGAAGCCAGGAGCCGGGAGCTTCCTCCAGGTCTCCCACGCAGATGCAGGAGCCCAGGCACTTGGGCCATCTTCCTCTGCTTTCCCAGGCCACAGCAGAGAGCTGGAGCAGCCGGGACTCGAATCGGCGCCCATTTGGGATGCCAGCACTTCAGGCCAGGCCATTAACCCACTGCGCCACAGCGCTGGCCCCTTTAGTTGCCTTAATAATGGATATGTTCTGATATTGTGCAGATAATTTGGATGGAGACCACTGAAGTATAAATTTAGGCTTTTAGGTTAAGAAACATTTACTCTTTCTTGTTTCTGGGTATCTTTATTAAGTCATCTAGAAAATCTAACTTCTTCTGTTTACTTTTGCATAACCCAGTCATTGAGTTTAAGGTATCAGTGAAAAAAATACATGTGGTATGACAGTTGACCTGAGAATTTTCTCCTTCTGCCTATGTGCAATTGAGTATGGAAACCTTTATCAGTTATCAATTATCATAGCCTAGGGTGGTGTGTTGTTGATTAAAGTGATAACTCTCTGGGACCTAAGGTTGTATATATACCTTTTCAACTGTCTTGGAGTTGTATCTCTGAATGATCAAGAATCCAGAGGTTAGCTGAAGCATAGGAATTCATTTGTTCATTCATTCTTCCAAATAATGGATTCTCTACTTAGTGCCAGTCACTGCTAGGTATTGGGAAAAAAGTAGTAAATATGATAAATGAATTACCTGTCCTGATAGAATGACAGGAATTATATATCAGATGATAGGAGATCACATATCAAGAGACCTAGTTATATCAGAGAAAGCAGAGGTAGGGGAACAGCCATTAAAATGCTTCATTTCTTGGCCAGCGCCATGGCTCACTAGGCTAATCCTTTGCCTGTGGTGCTGGCACCCTGGGTTCTAGTCCTGGTCGGGGCGCCGGTTCTGTCCCAGTTGCTCCTCTTCCAGTGCAGCTCTCTGCCCTGGCCCGGGAAGGCAGTGGACAATGGCCCAGGTCCTTGGGCCCTGCACCAACATGGGAGACCAGGAGGAAGCACCTGGCTCCTGGCTTCGGATTGGCGCAGCGCGCCGGCTGTAGGGCTATAGCAGCCATTTGGGGGGTGAACCAATGGAAAGAAGATCTTTCTCTCTGTCTCTCTCTCTCACTAACTCTGCCTGTCAAAAAAAAAAATGCTTCATTTCTGAAAAAAAAAAAAAAGTGTTTACATGCTATATTTAAATGTATACATTTGCATGTGTCTGAGGTTTCGGTTTCAAATTGTTGGATATATTAAATGTTACATTATATGATAATCTGGAATCATATTAGCCAACACAATTAGAATTTTTCTAGTTTCCTTTCTGATAATATTCTTTTTTTTCTCCTTTACAGTATACACTTTGGAATTTCCTCCCAAAGAATCTGTTTGAACAGTTTAGAAGAATTGCAAATTTTTATTTTCTCATCATTTTCCTTGTACAGGTAAGATATCCATAAATACCTATTCAACTTTGAGAAACTTCATTGCTTCAAACACATTTTCGATGAATTTATAACCTTGAAATGCTCAGTGATTTTTCTTAAATAAAAAGATATCCTAAGGCTTATCATAATGTGACTTTTAAAAGTAGAAGTATTACATTTTAAAGTTTAAAAGATTGTATAGCTTTCTAAAGTTGTGTTTTTACTAGAAAGCATGTTTAGATTCTGTTGTCACTTTCTTTAAAACTTTCAGGGATTTCATCTTTTTATTCATTTTACAAGGACACGATTCATGTACTATTAAATGAAATAGTACATATCAAAATTAAAAATGGTTCAAACTAACAGTTTATTAAGCACTAGTTTTAGCCTTAAAAAAGTTATCACTCATCTTCCTGACTTCCAGTTTTGCTCTGCCTCATTCACTTATTCACTTTACGGGTGGCTAAAAGTCTAGAAGATTGATCTGCTTTTGTTTGTTTCTTCTACTATTTTGTGTTTTAAATTTTAGACATTTTAAATTGCATCTTCCATCTTTAAGTCTATGTACTATTAAATTTCTCCTTGCCATAATTACCTCATGAAAATTTTACTACATTTAAAGGTACTTTTTTTCTCATTCTGTTTTTTAAACAAAGCAGAAAAATGCCAATGAGATTGCTGAAATACCTTGTTGATGTTTTTTTACCCTTAAGGAATTTATATTGTGGCTGAAGAGACAGTCATGTTTTCATTTAATTTAATAAAGTACAAGTTCTTCAAATAGTGTGTTCAAAATGCTGTGGGTAGAACTTCAGAAAGCTTCAAATAATCAATGATAACTTAAACTGAACATCTGAAGTATTACAAGGTGTTTACCTGTTGGAGATGTCAGGCCTGTATCTCAGGGGTAGGGAAAAGGTTGCCTAAAAGCACAAAGCCATGTAAAAATCTTATATGTACACAATATTTGTAACACAGGATGAGGCAAGGCAGGCCTGGCTGGGCATGGGAGATGAGAGTGTATGAGTTGTGAGGGCAGATTGAACTCATGATTTCCATTCATCAAATCAAATTTTCTTTCAGGATTTCTTATTTTGGGAAATTTCAAAAACACTCACCCAGGTTTTTAAGTAGACGCTTGGAAGACATCTTTAATTAACAGTTGCATTTGTTTACATACCAGTCCTGAAATTTTTCCCTCCTTCAGAATTTCTTTTCATGTCTCTTGCTACCATCCTACTGTTTCACCAGGATTATAGCAACAGGCTCTCAAGTGCACTCTGTCCTCAGCTCCTGTTCCTTTCTGATCCATCCTCCATGAACCAATGAGAACAGTCTTCAAACTGCACTTCTGTTCATGTGTCCTCTCCTGTTATAAAACTTTCAAGGATTTCCCATTGTTTATGGGAAAAAGCGTAAATAGCTTTCTCAGAGCTAGAGGGTCCTGCTCATATCTGGTCCTTGCTTCCCTCTCCAGCACTGTCTCATACCACACTGTCTCTTGCCTCATTGTCTCTTGCCACCGTTTATTTTTTTACTGTTCCTGGAAAGCCACCTTTGTCTAGATAACACTTGTTTTACTCTTCAGATCTCAGTGTCTGCACACTTGTTTTAATGTCTGATTTTCCCTGTAAGCTGCTACCTACAAGAAGGCAAGGACTTGTCTCCATCCTATTTAAAGCAACATTCTAGAAACTGGCTGATAGTGGCATAGGGTTGACTGAGTAGTGCTCAACAAATAGATGGTAAATGAATGGATATATTTTTATAAAGGAATTAATCCAAGTTGGGATAAAATCTAAACCTGAATTTAGGGCTATTTCTTTAATTGTGTTGTAGGTTACTTTTGTTTTAATGAAAATTAGCATTCACTCTGCTATTGTAATATGGTTTGTCTGCATTTCTGTCTGAAGTGTTTGTAACATATAAATGCTACTTATGAGTTAATGGCTAATTTTCATTTTGCTTTAAACTTAATTTCTTTACCTAGGTCACAGTAGACACACCAACTAGCCCAGTTACCAGTGGACTTCCACTTTTCTTTGTCATAACTGTTACAGCCATCAAACAGGTAAATTTCTTGTTTGTGTTTATGCCTACATTTCAGTCCAGGTTAGTTTGAATTTCATTGTCAAAGGCTCTGTCATATTTATATACAATGTGCAATATCCTTGTTAGATTTAGTTTATATTGAAAACCAGTTAAAATGATTGTAAGGCAAATCCTTAATTTATTTGCTTCTTTCTCCTCAATCTTTGTGTGGGGAGCATAAGCAAAAAAGAAAGAATAGGAAGAAAGTATAGCTCAGTCGGAAAATGGGATGTGTATTTTTAATATGCATTAATTGTTTCAGTGCAGTACATCTGAAAAATTTTCATTCTAGTGGAGGTTTTGTTGTTGCCTATGGCATTGAACACAAGAGCCTAAATATTTTAATTTTATTGGGTTCATTCTGGTGCTAAAGTGGGTGGTGGGTAGAGAGGACATTTATTGCTATTTCTTATATAGCTTTCAAACTACCACATATTGTGATATATATGTCAGAAGTATTTTGAGCATTTTGTTTTTTGGTTTTTTTTTTTGACATGTAGAGTTAGACAGTGAGAGAGAGAGACAGAGAGAAAGGTCTCCCTTCTTTGGTTCACCCCCCAGATGGCCGCTACGGCCAGCACTGCACCTGTCTGAAGCCAGGAGCCAGGTGTTTCCTCCTGGTCTCCCATGCGGGTGCAGGGGCCCAAGCACTTGGGCCATCCTCCACTGTCTTCCTGGGCCACAGCAGAGAGCTGGACTGGAAGAGGAGCAACCGGGACTAGAACCCGGCGCCCCTATGGGATGCCGGCACCGCAGGCAGAGGATTAAGTAAGTGAGCCACGGTCCCGGCCTCTTGAGCATTTTGTATACTAGTGTCTTTGAAACATTCCAGATGAAATTGATAAGGGAATAGGGGAACTGGAGGTGAAGGAATGGGTAATGATATTTATTATGTATGGAGCTAGTCCACAGGACTTGTTTAAAAATAAGTTTTTAGATAGTACTTAACAAAGGGCTTTTAAAAAGAATCCCAAAGAATCTTGCAAAATGAAGGCCTATTTAAAGATATTGAGAACAAAATTAACTTTCCTTTTGCAGTTATCTGGTCTATCTTGCCCACCTGGAACTGATATTTAATCAAGTGTTTGGTTGCTAAATAAAGGCTTTGGAATGTTCTTTCCCCTAGGCTGTTAGGACTATTTCCTTTAATATAATAAAATTTCAGTTTCCAGGAATAGCACATATGGCTTTCAAAGGCTTTTATGGATTCATTCTACTCCTAATAGTAGTTCATATTAGGGCGTTTCTAAACAAGCATCACAGAATGTACCCTGTGAAATGATATCCTAGTGTAGTTATCAAGAGGGACAGAAGAATGCATATAGCACCTGAAGGGAAGAAAAACAGATGAAGGTGATCAGGAGATTTTTCAAATAGTTGCGTTTGAAAAGGTATAGACATTATTCCTACAAAAAAAAAGGAAAAGGGTATAAAAAAGTAGTCATGCTCAAACATCCTCTTTCCTTATCCCAAAGAAAAGTGAGCTATTATATTTTTCCGTGATTACTTTTAACTCAAAAAAGAACAATTTATAGTCTTTATTCACCAAGTCATTGAAGAAGTTTAGCTTTTTGATCTCCACAATATATCATAGATTCTCTGCCAAAACAACCCTCGTGTGCCTTTTCTCTTCTTTGCAAGTGTTGAGGAATTATAATATTTCCTTAACTGTTCCAGCAATCTACTTACAGTACGTATTGAGGAATATTAGTGGTTGTCTTAAGAAAATTAAAACCCAAAATATTTTTGTTCTAATTGAATAGATCGAGAGAATTAACGTTAACTTGAACATGAGTAGAAGTAGAAGAATAAATTATAGTCCTTCACAGATGAAGAATATAAATGCTGTCATACCTGTGTTTTCACTAATATTTATCTGAAGAATAGAGAAACTTTTTAACTCATTAAAAGCTATATACCTAAAGGGTATTTTGAAAGACTCTCAGATTTGCTATTAAAGTTTCCAACATTGTCTCTCTAGCATTCTGACTTGAAATTACAACTGTAATTATAAATCTCTTCTGTTGATTCATATGGGTTATAGAAATAACAGCTTAATTTATTTGAGCTTGATTATAGTTATTTTTATCCTTCTAGGGGTATGAGGATTGGTTGAGACACAGAGCTGACAATGAAGTCAACAAAAGCACTGTTTATATTATTGAAAATGCAAAACGAGTGAGAAAAGAAAGTGAAAAAATAAAGGTATCTTTTTAGATTGCTGCTTTTTTTTTATTGTGGTTAAAACACACCATATTAAAGTCTACAATTCAGTTTCATTAGTACATTGACAGTGGTGTACATCTATCAATACCATCTAATTTCAGAACATTTTCCATCTCTCAAAAAAGAAACCCCATACTCATTAGGCACTCATTCAATATTCATTCCTCTTGTCAGACCCTGACATTAACTATCTTTCTCTTTAGATTTACATGTTTTGAAAATTTCATGTAAAATGTATCACACACTGTATCACCTTTTGCGTGTGGCTTCTTTTCTTTCAGAATGATTTGGGGATTTATCTATATGGTGGCGTATATCATCACTTACTCCCTTTGAAGGCTGAATGATAGTTGACTTTGTAGATATACCACATTATGTTTATCTGTTCATTAGCTTATGTACATTTGGGTTATTTCCACTTTTGGATATTGTAGAAATTTGTTGCTATGAACATTCAAGTACAAGTTTTTGTTTGAACATCTGTTTTTAATTCTTCGGGATATGTACATGGGGAAATTGTTGAGTCGTGTTGGCAATTCTGTTTAACTTTTTAAAAAAGCTTTATTATTTATTTATCTGAGAGGAAGGTCTTCCATCTGCTGGTTCACTCCCCAAATGGCTGCAATTGCTGGCACGAGCCAGGCTGAAGCCAGGAGTCAGGTACTCCATCCCAGTCTCCCATGTTTGTGACAGGGACTTGAACACTTGTGTCATCATCTACTACCTGCTGGGTGAATCAGTAAGGAGGTGGATTGGAAACAGTAGCCTGGACTCAAAATGGCTCACTTATATGGGATGTGGGCATCTCAATCAGTAGTAACCACTGTGCTACAGTGTCAGCTTGTGTGTTTAACTCTTTGATGTGCTGCCAAGCTATTTTCTACATTGGCTATACCATTTCATCTTTCCACCAGCAATATATCAGTACTTTGAATACTATTTTTTAAGATCTTAAGCAATTTAAATTTTATTCAAAGTAATCATTGTTATTAATAAGTCCCCTATCAAATAAAATTTTAGACTTGTCCATATAAGAAACTTTTTAGTTCTCAGTAAAGGTTTTAAATTAATAAACTATTTTTAGAGCAGTTTTAGAATCTCATCAAAGTGAGCCAAAAATACACAGTTCCATACTCACATGCACTCATGCTTTTGCCCTCTCTTGCTGTCAGTATCCCACATCAGAGTGGCAAGAATTGGTGTAATCCATAAACCTACTTTGGCACATGGTTATCACCCATAATTTATAGTTTTCATTAAGGTTCACTCTTTTTTTTTTTTGCCAGGCAGTGTTAGACAGTGAGAGAGACAGAGAGTTATAGACAGTGAGAGAGAGAGACAGAGAGAAAGGTCTTCCTTCTGTCGGTTTACCTACCGAATGGCTGCTATGGCCGGCACTGCGCTGATCCGAAGCCAGGAGCCGGGTACTTCCTCCCGGTCTCCCATGCAGGTGCAGGGACCCAAGCACTTGGGCCATCCTCTGCTGCCCTCCCGGGCCACAGCAGAGAGCTGGACTGGAAGAAGAGCAACCAGGACTAGAACCCAGGGTGCCGGTGCCGTAGGCAGAGGATTAGCCAAGTGAGCCACGGCGCCGGCCCAGGTTCACTCTTAATGTTGTACATTCTTTGGATTTTGACTAACGTACAATGTGTATTCACCATTGCACTATTAAGAAGGATAATTTGCTGCCCTAAAATCTTCTGTTCTTTGCTTATTCATTCCTCACTCTATACAACTACTGACAATCACCGATCTTCTTATTATGTTCACAATTTTGCCACTTTCAGAATGTCATATATTTGGAAGCATACATTATATTTTTCACTCAGTAATGTGTATGTAAGTTTTGTGTCTTTCCATTGCTTGATAGTTCATTTCTTTCTATTGATGAATAAGATTCTACTTTCTTGTTATAGTACATTTATCTGTTCCCCTGCTGAAAGACATGTTAGTTCCTTCCAGTTTTGACATTTATGAATAATATTGTATAAACATCCCTGTGCAATTTTTGTATGGATATAATTTTTCAGTTCCCTTGAGTAAATATAAGGGTGCAAGGTTCCTGGATTATATGCTAAGAATATCCTTAATTTTGTGAGAAACTGCCAAACTGTCTTCCATAGTGGTGTGTCATTTTACATTCACACTAGCAATGAATGAGTTCTTGTTGCTACATATCTTCACTAGCATTTGATGTTATCAGTATTTTGTATTTGGGCCATTCTAATAGATGTATAGTGGTATTTCATGGTTGTTTTAATTAGCGTTTCCCTGGCAATATATAATACATACTATCTTTCCATAGGCTTCTTTGCCATGTGTATATCTTTTTTTGGTGAGATGGTTATATGATATTTTGTCCATTTTTAAATAGATTTGTTTTCTTACTGAGTTTTTAACAGGTCTTTATATCCTCAGCAATAGGTAAATTGTCTTGCATCTTCTTATGTTGATGGGAAGAAAGCTACACAGTGGGAGGTCCACCTGAGTTTGAAATATAATGTCTTTTTCTTATTCCTTTTTCTTTTCTTCATTTTCTAAAACTTGAGGGGGAGACCTTATGCTAAACTAGGTTAGGTTAAGATTGGAAGTTTTCTAAACAATGTAGAGAATCAACATTACTGTTCATTGTTAGAACCAAGAGGCTGCCTAAATGATTCATAATATTAAATTTGTTACTCCCAGGATACTAAGTAAGGTTGCAATGTAGGCAGTGAATTCCCATATCTCCCTCTTTCTTTCATTTCCTCTTTCTGATTTTATTGTCACACTCCACCACAAGCTCCATTAGAAAAGGTCCCATCTAACCACCTGCCCTCTACCAGGCTTCTTTTCCTTGAGGCTGACCTCAGCCTGGTATAATATTGATTAAAAGAGTTGACACTATTGTGTGAAATGCTATTTGATAACAACCCTTTCTGAAGTGGTATGTGTGTGGGAAGAAATGCTTTCTAACCATTAGTCTCTAATGTTTGTGTTTGACTGAATCCTAGTGGGAGAGAGTGTGGGTGGAACTATTTTTGAGCAGTAGAATTTGTCTGAAGCCTCAATGTGATAAGGGAGCTTAAAGCCAGACAGTGACTTGATTTTTTTTTTTTTTAAATAAAACTGAGGTGTAGGTAAAGTGGAGCATGGGCTAAGGTATAATCAGGGAAACTATTTGGTCTCCCTGATTAGGTGGCTGCTACCATAGTATTGGATAATGATAAGAGCTTATATAAATTTGATAGAAGCAGTGATAATGATAATGAAATTATTAGTTTCCATATTATATAGTATATAATATGTGCCAGACATCCTTCTGGGATTTTAGGGGCAATGGATATATTCAGAATACATTTTAGAGGCAGAATCATCATGACTTAAAGATTTATTGGATGTGGAGGATGAGGGAAAGAACTAAAAGAATAATGAAGGTGGTCATCTTGATTTTGGCCTGAACAATTGGTTAAATTACATTGTACTATTAAACAAAATACGAGTGCTTATAGATAAAGTGGATAAAATAGGAAAAACAGTTTTAAGGACAGAAGTGGGTATAAAGCAAAATCAGATACACACTTTTGACCATGTCAAGTTTGATATCCCTATTAGACACAGAGTTGAAGTTGTGAAGCCTGGAGTTCATAGATGCTTTAGTGAAAATAGAAATTTTGGTGTCATCAGCATGTAGGTGCCATATAAAAGCCATGACATGGGGTGCAATCACAAGAACATAGAGAACAGGAACTTGAGGGGTCCAATGTAATTACATTCTTCATTTAGTGGAGGGTTAAGCTTGTGATTATAAAGTAAATTGAAAGTATATCATTGTAAAAATTAAAAATAAAGAATGTGAGGAAGAGTGGGAGCAAGAGAAGGAGGGGATGGGAAGTATCATTATGCTCTTAAAACTATATATATTGAATTTTTTCACTTTATATAAATTTAAATTTAAAAAAAAATAAAGGTTATTTTCAAGGGAAAAAGTATGGTTTTGTTATCATAAATTTTGGCAACTCGATAGAGTAAAATACCACTGATAATACAAGGATACTTGAAATAGTTAATGGAAATATAATTAAAAAAATTTATTTTGTTGCAAATAAGTTTGAAATCTGCACATAGTTTTTTCATAATATACATTTTTCATGAAATATTTGAAAACCTCTTTGATGTCATACTTTAGTGTCAAATAGAAATAAAGCTTGTCCTCTAGTACTTCAGTGAACCAACCAAAATGTTTTGAAATAATATGCTGAGTTCTTCTACAAGGGTAAGAAAGAATGAGGAGAAATGTTGCTTGTATTGTAATGTAGCAGGTTAAAGCTGCTGCCTGTGACACCGATATATCCCATATGAGCTCCCATTTGAGTTTTGGCTGTTCCACTTTCAGTCTACCTAATGCTCCTTGGAAGGCAGTGTAAGATGGCTCAAGTACTTGGACCCCTGGACGTGGAAGTCCTGGATGGAGTTTCAGGCTCTTGACTTTGGCCTAGCCCAGCCCTGGCTGTTGCAGCCATTTGGGGAATGACCCTGCAGATAAAAGATCTCTGTCTTTCACTTTCTCTAACTCTGCCTTTCAAATAATTAAAATTAGTTTCTTAAGGAAAAAAAGGTAATTTGTCTGATAATATAGTCCATATAGCTTTCATTTAGTTGATATTTGCATAATCATTTCTATCCTTTTAATCCTATTTACATTTTTATTTCTAATTGGATCTATGCTTTTTAATTGGACTCTTTAGACTGTTTAATGTAATTATTATTATGGTTTGGTTGCCTGTCCCATCTATTATATTTTTCCTCTTTACATGACCTCTTTGGATTATTTGAATTTTTGAGGGGGTGGTGATTGTACTGTGTCTCCTCTATGGCTTACTAATTATACCTTTTGCAATTTTTTAAAACAAGATTTAGCTATTTATTTGAAAGGCAGAGTGACAGAGATGGGGAGAAACAGAGAAACAGATTTCCATCTGCTGAATCACTCCCCAGATAGCCACAATAGTCAGGACTAGTCAAGGCTGAAACCAGGATGGCTGGGGCCAGCTGTTTGGACCATCTTCTACTGCCTTCCCAGGCATTAGCAGGAAGCTAGAACAGAAGCAGAGCAGCCAGGACTCCATCTGGCATTCTGATGTAAGATAAGAAATAGCTTAACCTGCTGTGCCACAACACTGGCCCGACCTTTCTAATTTTTTAAATGATTGTTTTGCATTTTACAATATACATTTTAATGAAGTAATCTTAGCTTGTTTGACTACTTTATATAAAATAAAAATCTTACAATATCATAGTTTCATTTCTTCATTCATATTCTCTTTATTTTCATGTTTTAAAGCCCATAATACTTTATATTTATTTATGTACTGTTATATTTTTATATAATTCTTAAATGATTTATTTTTAAAAAAATACTCTATTTTCCCTTTGTATATCATTTTGGATAATTTTAGTTGAACTGTCTTTATGCTTCCTGATTATTTCCTTTGCTGTATCCACTCTGCTTGTTGAAGAAAATCTTCATCTCTGATACCATATTTTTCTTTTTTAACTTTTATTTAATAAATATAAATT